TAAGTCGTTATAATGAGAAAACAACTCTCGTTATGTCGATATAATGAGAAAATTAAGTCGTTATAACGAGAAAACAACTCTCGTTATGTCGATATAATGAGAAAATTAAGTCGTTATAACGAGAAAACAACTCTCGTTATGTCGATATAACGAGAAAATTAAGTCGTTATAACGAGAAAACAACTCTCGTTATGTCGATATAACGAGAAAATTAAGTCGTTATAACGAGAAAACAACTCTCGTTATGTCGATATAACGAGAAAATAAGTCGTTATAACGAGAAAACAACTCTCGTTATGTCGATATAACGAGAAAATAAGTCGTTATAACGAGAAAACAAGAAGGAAAAAAAATAATAATGCATGGCCGCTTAGAACTTCCGTAGATAGTTGATCATTTTCACCCGAAATTAAAAGGATTTCTTCATTTACTCACCCGTAACTCAAATCTGTATAACTGTAATGACTTGCTAACAAACTGATGTCTCGAATTTGAAAAATTTGGTTTGAAACATTGCATTGGAAAAAAATCTATTTAGCTAATGGTTATTAAATGCCCTATGTCTTCATATAATATAAAATCAAATAAAACTACACTACATTTCTAATTTTTACCTTTTGTGCTTCCCATTATCTGTTTGACACATTCCCAGCACTGGCTTGAGGCTCTTGAAAAGGACCCAAGTGAGACTAGACGGGAGCTGGCTGAGACGGCCCGAAAAATGACAGTTCTCAGGGTGAACGAGAAGTGTCTGACACGACGTTACACAACTCTGCTTGAGCTCGAGCAACACTTGAGAAAGGAGAACGGCAAACTGAAGGATGATTTCACTCAAATGGAGGCTGCTGTAACTGAAAGGATCGGTTACCTGCAGAGGTTCAAGGTATTAGACCTATGTATATCACTTGAGAAGAAATGAATGGGAATGATTGGATTTCCAAGGCTGTGTTTTGACAGATTAATTGGCCTGGCTAATATATACGTACTGGTCTTTCACTATGAGGGATGGTGGTCATCTTTGCTGAGGGCTGTAACTGACCTCTGCTGACCTCTGTAACTTGCTTTGCCCTCAGGAAATGGCAGTGTTTAAAATGGCCGCATTGCAGAAATCCCTTGATGGTAGTGTTTCTGCTTCGGAGCTGGAGAGAGCCAACAAACAATACACCGAGCTTACCATCAAGTACAGAAACCTCCTACAGAAAGACAATCACCTCGTTCAGAAGACAACCACCCTGGAGCACTTGGAGGTACATCGCTTACAAGTTACATTAAGCAATGGACCTTCTTTGTTTTTTTTACAGTACTCTCCATTCCTTTCAGAAGGAGAATGTGTCTTTACATGGGCGCATTAACTCCATCAATAAAGAGTTTGAGATCAGCAAGGAGAAGCTTCACACTTTAGAGCAGGCCTGGGAAAACATCAGCACGACTGGTAAACGTCACTGCTGATTGATTAAAAAACATAAAAGCAATGTTAAAGCGTTGCAATTGATGTAATTTATTTCTGGTGTTCACAGGTGGTGAGAACAGCATGGAGAAGGCGGCCAAAGCCTTGGCCAACAGCGAGATTGTATCTGTGTCCAGACGTATAACAACGCTGGAGATGAAGGAGTTAAATGAAAGGCAGCGGGCTGAACATGCTCAGAAGATGTACGAGCACCTGAGGAACTCCCTCAAACAAGTGGAAGAGCGCAACTTTGAACTAGAAACCAAGTTTGCTGAGGTGGGTCTGATTTATCTTTTGCATCACATAGCATCCATCCAGAATATAGCAACCATATAGTGAAATGCAAAAAAAACAACAACAAAAAAAACACCTTATTTTATTTTAATAACCTTTAATTTTATTTTGATAAACAGTTTATTTTATTATTTTATTTTATTGTAATAAAGCACATTGTTGAGCATCAAATAAGCTTTTGGTTTATTTTTTATAAAAAACACAGTATGTTAAACATTTTAATAATCTTTAATTTTATTTTTTATAAAACAGTGTGATAAACAGTTTATTTTATTTTATTTTAATAAAGTACATTAAGTTGAGCTTTAAATAAGCTTTGTTTTATTTTTGTAAAACAAAGTATGTTAAACATTTTAATACTCTTTATTAAGGTTTTGTTTTGTTTAGTTTAGTTTGATTTGATTTGATTGTAATAAAGCACATTAAGTTGAGCATTAAATAAGCTTTTGTTTTATTTTTATAAAACACAGTATGTTAAACATTTGAATAACCTTTAATTTAATTTTATAAATTTGTTAAACAGGTTTTTTTATTTTATTTGATTTTAATAAAATAGATTAACAATAAATATTAGTTTATTGTTAAATATTATTTAAATTATTATTATTTAATATTAGTTAAATATTAGTGATAAATATTAGCTTTAATTTAATTTATTTTTTTAGTTTGTTAAATATTTAATATGATTTAGTTTTTCTTTATAAAACAATATGAAACATTTAATAATCTTTTCAATTTTATTTTTATAAAACACAGTGTGTTGAACGTTAAATAAGCTTTTTATTTTAATTTACGTTTTTATTTTTATAAAACACAGTATGTTGTAAATTAAACAAGCTAATATTTTCTATGTATTTCTGTATGCCTATACAGCTCACAAAATTAAACCTGGAGGCTCAGCGGATAGAAAGGGAGCTCAGGGATGAGCTGGACAGTATGTTAAACATTTTAATAACCTTTAATTTTATTTTTTATAAAACAGTGTGATAAACAGTTTATTTTATTTTATTTTAATAAAGTACATTAAGTTGAGCTTTAAATAAGCTTTGTTTTATTTTTGTAAAACAAAGTATGTTAAACATTTTAATACTCTTTATTAAGGTTTTGTTTTGTTTTGTTTAGTTTGATTTGATTTGATTGTAATAAAGCACATTAAGTTGAGCATTAAATAAGCTTTTGTTTTATTTTTATAAAACACAGTATGTTAAACATTTGAATAACCTTTAATTTAATTTTATAAATTTGTTAAACAGGTTTTTTTATTTTATTTGATTTTAATAAAATAGATTAACAATAAATATTAGTTTATTGTTAAATATTATTTAAATTATTATTATTTAATATTAGTTAAATATTAGTGATAAATATTAGCTTTAATTTAATTTATTTTTTTAGTTTGTTAAATATTTAATATGATTTAGTTTTTCTTTATAAAACAATATGAAACATTTAATAATCTTTTCAATTTTATTTTTATAAAACACAGTGTGTTGAACGTTAAATAAGCTTTTTATTTTAATTTACGTTTTTATTTTTATAAAACACAGTATGTTGTAAATTAAACAAGCTAATATTTTCTATGTATTTCTGTATGCCTATACAGCTCACAAAATTAAACCTGGAGGCTCAGCGGATAGAAAGGGAGCTCAGGGATGAGCTGGCAAACAGTGTAAGCAAAGATATTAGTGATGCCGATCGCAAGCGAATCACCGAACTGGAGAAAACCGAGGCAGACCTGCGGATTGAAGTGTCCAAGTAAGGCTGATCAGTCAGCCTGTGCATATGCTTGCTGTGATAACATATCACAAGAAAATGTACACAAGCGTCTCTTCTATTTGCAGATTGCGGGAGGTGTCAGATGTCGCTAAAATGCAGGTGTCCGCTCTGGAAGCCAGACAGCAGTCAAGAGAGAAGGAGGTAGAAAGCCTGAGGAGACAGGTGTTAGACTACCAGGTATGTTTTTCTTTTTTTCAGCTGTGCTGCCTCTTGATCACATTCCTAATTGCACATCTCCTCCTCAGGCTCAATCCGATGAAAAGGCCCTCATCGCTAAACTCCACCAGCACATTGTGGCTCTCCAGCTGAGCGAAACTACAGCCATCAGCCGACTGGAAGCAGCCAACACACGCCTGCAGAAACTCGAAGCACAGAAGCTCCGAGTCGAACAGCAGCTGGATGCCCAGCAGCAGACTCTTTGGCACACGAGGCAGGAGGGTCATCAGCGGGCCAGACACCTCCGCCACACAATCCAGGCCCTCCGCAGACAGTTCTCAGGAGCCCTGCCACTGGCCCAACAGGAGAAGTTTTCCAACACCATGCTTCAGCTGCAGGAGGACAAGGCACGGGCCAGGGAGGAGGCGCATAAGGCGGAGGAGGAGAGGAGGAAAGCAGAAGGAAACGCACAAGAACTGGAGCTAAAGCTGAAGGGGTTGGAGGAGCTCATAGCAACACTGAAAGATGCCAAAGGAGCTCAGAAAGTAGGTTGATTGATTACAAATAGAGTTGTGATATGGTTCTTAAAATAATAATTTACAAAAAACATATAATTATAATTTTAAACATATATTTATTTTATGTATATTAAATATTTTGTTGAATGTTATTTGTTTTTTTACGAAATGAGATTTAAGACAAATTATAAATTAAATGTGTCCTTTTATTATTGCTTGGACAAAATGATGCACATTTCTTTGTGAAATTAAAATATAACACTATACTAATATAGCACTTACATATTGTTGCTCTTTTGTTGGTTTTGATTGCTTCTATTGTCCTCATTTGTAAGTCGCTTTGGATAATAACGTCTGCTAAATGACAAAATTTAAATATAATGTAAATAACAAAACTAAATTGAAATTTTAAAGCCAGTCCCAAATCAAATAATAAGTAACACAAATAAAGTAAATCTCTTCATATAAACAAAATAAGGCTTTGTCTGTGCTGCAACCACTGCATTTTAATCTTGATCCAAACAAAGATGCTGCATACATGCAACATGAGCCGTTTTTAATCTAAATTGGATTGTATAATTTCGAAATTTAAAGCAAAAACAGAATGGTTTGACTTCAGTTTCGTGAAACTATACATAAAAATATCTGCATGAAACAGCAGGTGGTGCTTAATGCGTTTCCTTGGTTTCCGCTGTAAACAAAGCAGCACTGCACTTATGAACTTTAATATGCATTATACAGAGTCAAGATGAAAAGAAAAAATACCATCTAAACTTTTCTAAAGACAGTAAGTTCCCCTCAGACATGGATTCATATAAACTCCTACATCTAAATGAATCGCTATTTGTTTAGCATCACATATTTGAATCGATTTTCAACCGGTCGCAGTTAATCGTTACATCCCTATTTATATTATATTTAATAGTATTATTAATATATTTTATACATATACATTTTATAGAATCTTACAAAAAAGATCACATTTTACTGCATAAGCATATAACATTTTCTTTTATTTTTGTATTTACGCATTGTTTTAAGCACATTTTACACAAAAATTTAAAGTAACTAAAAAACTGTTTTTTTTAATAATTACTTAAATTAGATTATTATAACTGTTTTATGTAATCTTTGTAATATAGTAATTTTTGCATCACAATAATAAAAAGTGCATTATTGTCATGACAATAATAGTGCTGGGCAACAATGGCGATTAAAGGCACAATATTAAATTTTTTGCCACTAGAGGGCGCGTATTCAAAACAAAGAAAGGCATAGTTAGATGACGGCGTGACTGAGTGTGGAGTCATGGGAGTTGTCATCTTCATCCCCACAGCCGATGCAATCCGATGGGTCTCGGGCAGAAATCATGTTCATGGATGAGCTAATGTATTAAAGATGTATTAACATCGTAGTATGAAGCAGGGTGAGGCTGAAAGCCGTCAAAGCAAACGAGGCCGCTGAACGAGCACGACACACGGCTTGAAAGCAGCGGAGCTTTTATTATGCCACACTTTAGCGCTTCTGCTCCTTCCGGTCGTGCGTATGTGGTGTAAAGCAGTGCTGTTTTATCATACTAGATACATTTGAAAGTTCTGTTATAATGCTACTCTGTGCGGTTGTCATCGGTCTATTAAAACGCACAACATATTAAAGTGTCTTTTTATTGTTTCCATATTTTCTACAAAACAAAACCGGAAATCGAGGGTGTATGACGTCATTGGTAGGCGACACAATGACACTATGGACACGGTCCGTGTCACTAGTTAAAATTGCTTATTTCTCTGGATTTAAACATTCTTCGAAACATTTGGGATAATGCAAGTACAGAAGTCAGCAAAATATATTACACTGTTCTAGTGGTTTTTGGATATTTTAATAAAAAACGTACATATTGTGCCTTTAATCGCATCCACAATAAAAGTTTTTGTTTATATAATATATGTGTACTGTGTATATTTATTATGTATATATAAAGACACACACATCTAGTATATATTTTGAAAATATTTACATGTATTTACATATACATATTACATTTAATATATAAACATAACATATTTTTCTTAAATTTATACATGCAGGTGTTTGTATTTATATATATATAATTATACACAGTACACACACATATATTATGTACATAAAAACTTTTATTTTGGATGCGATTAATTGCGAATAATCATTGTCCAGCACTAGAATATTATCTTAAAATGTAATTTAAAAAAAATTTAACAATGGTCTACACTACAGCCTGCATTTTCTTTAAGAAAAATGTAATTCTTTATTTTTCCTATATTCGTTACAGACTTTATTAGATTTACTTCTAAATTATTCACATGAGTTATGTTACTCCTATTAATAAAAGAAATTGTTCCCATAAACAGTAGTTTACACTACAGTGTTTACAGCTTAATATCAACCACTACAGGTGAGTGAGTGGCATAAGAAACTGGAGGAAGTTCGTCTGTTGGAAATGAGGCAGAGCAGAGAGCTTGGTGCCCAGCGGGAAGAGATAAAATACCTAAAGAACATTGTGGCTCAGCAGGAACACACCATCAGCGGCCTGGAAGAGGAGCTGGTGCAGCAGAATAACGTCAGTATTGCATTTAAACATGCTTCTTCCCTACTTTTTACAGTATACGGAGCATGCTTCATTCAAGGTTTCTAATCTTATTTGTTATCATTGTATTAGTTTCTCGAGGAGCGGCAACTGATATGGGATCAGAGAGAAGTGCAATTGGAGCGCCAACTCGACACCTATGAGAAACAGCAGAATGAAGTCTTAAGTACAGCTCAGAAGGTGCCATCAACACTGACTCTTGGCAGACTTGACAAATGTTTTTTACAGTTTACTGAACTACAGTTTAAATTACACTTAACTTGTCCTGTTTGGGTTTAGTTTGAGGAAGCCACAGGCTCTCTACCAGATCCAAATCAGCCTTTAGCGCACCAGCTGGACTACACTCTTGGAAAAATCAAAGAGCATGTTCGTACCATCCTTGAGACAAAAGCCACCTGCAAAATTCTGGAAGAGGTACTTTTTTTTATCCATCAAGTGACTGGGCAATCATTTAAGTCAGCTTTACCAATTTTAAACCTTGTTTTTAAGATTTTCTTACAAGGAGTTTCTTTCTCTCTGAGCAGAAGCTGAAGGAAAAAGAAGCTGCTTTGTGGACATCAGAAAAGAACGTCTTATCCCGAGACAAAGTGATCAATGAACTGAGGCTTCGCCTACCAGCTGCTGCTGAGAGAGAGAAACTCCTGGCTGACCTGAGCAAACAAGAGGACTCTGATAGCCAGCCCGCCCTGAAGGTCGCCCACCAGACCATTAACAACCTACAAGGGCGTCTGGATCAAAAAGATGTGGTTCTCAAGAAGTACCAGAACCTGTTAGCAAAGACCCGTCAGGTGCCTATTTAAGTTCGAAACTGAGGCTTGGTGATCCATATTGCAGAATAAAACCATATAAACCATTATTATTTTCCCAGGAGCAGGAAGAGATTGCCAAAAGGCATGAGGAAGAGGTCAGGGCACTGCATCAAAAACTGGACGTCTATATGGACACGTCACTGGACCGTTTCAAACAGACTGCTCTGGTACCTAGAGTATTCATTATAAAACTCAACTTATGATAGAGTGCCAGAAATGGATCAAGAAAGAACACATTTATAGTGCACTTGATATATATATATAATGTTATAAATCATGGTAGCTGTCATATTTAGTACGCTACTCAATTTTATTCTTCTCTAGGAGCTAATGAAGAAACCCACCATCACTGTACCGGCCAATAAGCACTTGGTGCGTTTGGCAGAAATGGAGCAGACGGTGACTGAGCAGGACAATTCGCTCTCCTCACTGACACACAAGCTGAAGGTCATCACTGCAGAGCTGGACCAACAGAAACAGGTGACGGCGGCACAAGCCATGGAAATAGCCAGGTGAGAAATTAAAACATGTTAAACCCTGCTTTTTTAAATACTGATTAATATCAAGACATTGATTCCTTGTGCCACTTTTAATGAGCTTTAATTTCCAAGACTTGAGGAGAGACATGTTGCCCAAACGAAGGGTCTGTCCCAGGAGGCAGAAGAGCTGAGAGCTCAGCTCATTCAGATGGAGAAAGAGCTGCATTTCCTCCGCACAGAGTTAGAGGCCCAGAAAGAAGCCAATGTCAGATCACCATCCAACACCATGAAGAACCTTGTGGAGCGGTTGAAGACTCAGTTGGCCCTCAAGGAGAAACAGCTGAAGGTACCCCACAGTGGACAACTACAGTAAATGTGCAGTCACATAATTTCAATAGAAAGCTGTGCTATTGGAAATAATTAACGAGGGCCTTTTTTGTTTTGTCCATGATGTTTTTGTCCAAAATGTTGTACATTTGTTCTGGACAAGTTTTTCCATGTGATGTTTGAATGTGACTAAGATTATAATTCGGTTCCTCATCTGAGGCTCTCAGTAAAGCTCTCTTGGAGCTTCGCGGAGAGTTAACATCTCAAGCAGAACAGCAGATCATCGCCAATGCTGCTCAGAAGGAAGAGGCCCTTAATGTTCAGCAGATTGTCGATAAGCAGACCAAGGAGCTAAGGGTAAAGATGAGGAAGAAACCTAAAATCTTACCCTATTTCTAAACCTTTACTTGTCAACAAGATTTTGCATCAGATTTTATAAGTAGAAAATATTTCCCATATCAATTTTTGTTAATTATAAAGATGATGCATTTAATTATTAAAGTGAGAAAAATTAATCTGCCACTTTGTAGCTCATCAAATTGCTTGACCATCCATTCATCCTTGAAAACCGTGAACAAGACTATGCAAAGTAGACATAAAAAACAAAACAAAATTGATTTAAATTAAAAAAATAATAATAATTATGCAAGACTTGAAGTAATTGAATAAATTAAATTTAAAATGGGTTATTTATTTGTTTAAAATGTAACAATAAAAATACATTACTCATAACTTATTTTAAAAAGCATTGGTCAGTTGCTTTTATTAATCATTTGTCAATCAAGTTTTTCAAATATTCTATTGAACAGTTCATTGATGGGAGCAACCAATGAACTTTTGACTTTCTGGTTTTTAAGATGACAGAATTTTATCCCAACCCTAACCAACAAATTTTTATATCCCTGTGTTCCTCATCAGGCATGTGTGAAAGACCTTAATGAGGAGCTCCAGCAGGCTAAGGATGGCATACGAGCAGCAAAAGCCAGAGAAAACTCGCTGAGAGAGGAGCTGGAGAACTTAAACAAGGATTTGCAGAGGAGCCAGAAATCACATAACAAGCTGCAGAGTGAAAAAGAGTTTCTGGAGGATCAGCTGGATGAGCTGAAGAAGAAGGTCCAGAGGCTCAGCAGCGGCCTTCAGGTCAGACCACATGTGTTTTTCACCCCTGTTCAATTGTACCATGAATGGTTAAAGGCACAATATGTAAGATTTTTTTATTAAAATATCCAAAAACCACTAGAACAGTGTTATATATTTTGCTGACTTGTGTACTTACAATTAGCAATTTTAACTAGTGACACAGACAGTGTACATAGTGTCATTGTGTAGCCTGCCAATGATGTCATAACCCCTCGATTTTCGGTTTTGTTTTGTAGAAAACATGGAAACACCAAAGACGCTTTAATATGTTGTGCGTTTAATTAGACCGGTGACAACCGCACAGAGTAGCATTATAACAGAACTTTAGAATGTATCTAGTATGATAAAACAGCGCTGCTTTACCCCACATACGCACGACCGGAAGGAGCAGAAGCGCTAAAGTGTGGCATAATAAAAGCTCCGCTGCTTTCGAGCCGTGTGTCGTGCTCGTTCAGCGGCCTCGTTTCGCTTCGATGGCTTTCAGCCTCACCCTGCTTCATTCTACTACGTTAATAAATCATTAGCTCATCCATGAACATGATTTCTGCCCGAGTCCTGTCGGATTGCATCGGCTGTGGGGATGAAGATGACAACTCCCATGACTCCACACTCAGTCACGGCGTCATCAAACTACACCTTTGTTTCTTTGTTTGTTTTGAATACGCGCCCTCTAGCGGCGGAAACTTACATATTGTGCCTTTAAAGTCAAGAAATGTATGTCTCACTGTTCTTGAGTAATTCTACCAGTGGCTCGAAAGCATTTGAACAGTGAGTCAGCAACTCTTTTTTTCTCTGCAAATGAAGAGCTTCTGCTCAGTGTCTGGTTTAACAGAGCCTTTCTTTGACGGCAGTGAATACGTCTAGACACCATTGTGCAGATCCTCGCGCTTATCAGTTTGTGGTCCTTGGAAAGAAATAAAAAACATTTGTATGTGTAATCATAGTCTTCTTAGCTTTGTTACAATTACAATGTTCAGGTACAACTTTATTTTTATACAGTAGCACCTTTTAAACTTTTTACATAGTTCTTTACCAAAGACATGTACTCTAACATTCAAAAGTTTGGGGTTAGTAAAAAATGTATCAAAAATGAAAGTAAAGACATTTATAGTGTTACAAAAAGATTTATACTTCAAATAACATTATATTCTATACAAATTCATAAACTATGAATGCTGAAAAAAATCAATCATGGTCTCTACAAAAAATATGAAGCAGCACAACAATTTGTCTCCACAAATGTTTTTTAAACAGCAAATCAGAATGATTTCTGAAAGATCACATGACACTGAAGACTGGAGTAATGATGCTGAAAATTCAGCTTTGCCATATGTATTAAAATAGAAACTGCTATTTTAAAATTGTAATAATATTTCACAATATTACTGTTTTTACTGTATTTTTGATCAAATAAATGCAGCCTTGGTGAGCTTTAGAAACTTAATTCAAAAATCTTACATGCTTGTGAAAGGAGATAAAGTACATTGTCAGAGTAAGACTACAATGAGATTCTAAATAAATAAATATGTATAAAGATATCTTTTTGTGTGTGTATGTATTTGGTGTTTGTCTGTGCAGGCTCAGGTTGAGAGTGATGGGCCCACAGTTGAGGCTCTTCAGAAGAAGATCCGTAAGTTAGAGCAGGAGCTAGACAGGAAGAGCATCTCAGATCCTGCAGACAAGAGGAGTGCCCTGAAGGAGGACAAGGTGAACTAGAATTGCATTTACAGCAATAAAAAAAATTAAATTATCAGCAGAAAATGACGTAGAAGAAGCCTTTTTGATGTCAGATGTTTATTTGAGCTCTTATTCTTTGACACACACATTTAATTTTACATTTTGTGGTGAAGTCACAGTCTAGCTATGTTTCTGACATTGTCTGAGTCATTAAAAAGTATAGTAGTCATTATAAAAAAAATATTATATTCCTCTTGATTTGTTCAGTCCTTCTGATTTATTAACAAAATAACAGTATTAATTTTCATGTATATATGTGAATTTACCATATTTGCAGTCCTCTAAAGAAGAAATCTTGAGGTGGGAGGAAGGTAAAAAGTGGCAGGCCAGGGTGGAGAAAGTGCGGACTGTCCTCAAGGAGAAAGAGAAAGAAGTGGAATCTCTGTCTAAACAATTAACAACAATCAAAGAACTTTACAGCAGGTCTGTGTTGTGACACTAGTCCATCCACATAATGGACAGTTTCAAAACACAGTTTGAAGAATCTTAAAATGTATGCAATAAATGTGAGCTTGACTTCTGCATTTATTAAGAGTAAGAACAAAAGTTGAAGATTCCCTATCATTTTTATGTTGGCTGATGTCTTTGAAGGTTGGAGCAGGAGAAGGTGGGTCTCCAGAAGAAACTAAAGGGCAGAGGAGTGACCGCAGATCAGGTTGTTGGTGTACGGACCCTCGAGGCTGACAGAGAGATTGAGGAGCTACAAAGAAGGAACGCTGAACTGGAACAGCAAATCAAAGTGATAAAGTGTGTTCTGCCTAGCAATCATGCCAATTTGTTCCGTTTGTTTATGTTGTCTTGAGGAATGTTTAATATGTACTGGTGGTTTTGTAGGCAGCAGCAGGCTTTACCCCGTGATGCTGCAATGGAGGATATCACCATCAGGAACCGTTATCTTGAGGAGAGGCTTCACTCCCTGGAGAGTCAACTGTCCAAAGAGTCTCCATCCAGACCATCTGTGGGTGTAACACGTAAAACATTTTTTCAACACTTTTCATGAATTTCACCCCATTAATTTCAGTCTTACACTTCCTTTCAAATCTGTTTCTTTTTCCATACCTCTATTCCATCTCTGAAAATACATGTGGCATCACAATCTCAGCTCAGCTGGTCCTCAAAAGTTGTTCATTCCAAGACTTTCGATATTAGTGAAAGTGAACAAATTCAGTCTCCATTAGTAAATGACACAGTCCCTGAAAAAGGAGCCATCACTGAAAAGGAAATAGCAGTTACAGAGGACAAAGCAACTCAAACTTCATCCAGTAGATTGAGTGCAGCAGAAGTGAGTGAAGATGAGGAAAACAGCAAGGAGAATGTAGGAGAGAGCATTGTAGATGTAGAACCAGAAGATCTGGTGAATGAGAACAAAAGTGAACAGGAAGAAGACAACAAAAAAGAGGGATTGGGCGAGAAAGATATAGAGGAACCAGATGAGGCTCAAGGAGGACAAGAGGAAGATATAGTAGTCGCTGAAAATGCACAGGAAGAACTGAAGACTAATGGAGTTGCAGAAGAGATGACAGATAAGCCTCTTGAAGAAGATCAGCTGGAATATGAACATCTGGAGGATGACCAACAAGACAGAGATAAGGAGCAAGAACCTGGAGAACAACATATTGAGTCTTTGAAATCTGAAGGTGATCCAAGCCAAAATTTGAAAACATCTAAAGAGCTTGAAGAAGAAGAAATGGTACTCAGCACAGATGCCAAAGTGGTGCCTGAAGAACCATCAATGGAGGAGACCATGTCCTTCATCCCTGAGGAAGATGTGGACCCTGTTTTAAGTGAGAACGTAAAATGTTCCCCCACTAAGGAGCTGAATTCAGGTGTTATAAAAAGTGATGTCTTAAACATTCTTGGACCTGTAGAATCCGAGGTCACCACCTTTCGTGAGAAAGAACAAAGCAAAGTGAAAGCTCGAAAGGTACTTAACGCATAGGCGCTCACACTGAAGCGCTAGCACAAAGCTTCCAGTTCTCAACCCCATAGCTTTGTTGGCTTTGAGCTTGTGACTTCGCCTTTCCAGACCCGGAGTGTCTGCTTTTGCCCCATAGCAATGGTGTCTATGTGTTGCATCCTCTCCATCCTGAATCCAAAATGTTTTCGTTGTCTGGGTGTTATTTAGCTGCATGTTGTCTATGGCATCAACATCTCTTTGTTGTTTCAGCAGACGTCTGGCCGTGGTTCTGGTACACCATCTCAAAGAGAACATGAGCTCCAAAAAGAGAACCTCAAGTTGTCCACGGAGAACCTGGAGCTTCGTTTCCAACTGGAGCAAGCAAACAAAGACCTGCCTCGATTAAAAGTACTGTAAAATCGAAATGATTAATAACATGCTAAAAATAAATTTAAAAAAAACTGTTGTACTTACTTTACACGCCCTGTGATGAAAGGATCAGGTGTCTGACCTCAAAGAGATGTGGACTCGAAACTCATTCTTTGCCAAATATTTCCCAATTAGATTGGCCAATAAACAACTCGAGAGGGAAAAAGCTGAACATCTTCGCCAGATCCAAAAGTACGATGAGCAGTTTGGAACCA